ATGGTCTCTTGATGGCGTCAGTTCGCAAAGTCCAGGAGGCGGGTGCTCCTCGAGCCCGCCTACCCTGGCTCAACGAGTAAATTGTGAGCGTGAAGTCCCTACTGGAGGGAATCGTGACTATGGAGCTGCGAGCGGACCTTCGTCAGGCACTGATTGGATGAGGTCGTGTGGGAGAATTGCGCCTGGTGGGACAATTGCTGGGGCGTCGTCGGTTGAGCCCTCCCGGCAGTTGTCGTGTCCGAGATCAATGATGTTGTCTGCTCTAACGGTGCAGGCTGAGCCCCGCCTGCCGTATTTCTCCCCTGCTTCTCTGCCTTCCTACCCTGCTCCCGCCATCCCACCCATCGTTTGCGCGCCCGCTGCTGGGCGCTCTCACACTCTCCTTACTCGGTCCGTCCTTCTGAGATCTGCTACTGCCTATGCCTGCCCCTCGCCTTCTTCCCCTCCTCCCAATGTGCAGCGTCGCCCCATCCTGGCAACGGTGCCCATCAGTCGTGTTGGCTTGGCTGGCCATCCTGCTCGTGTGCTTTCGGTCCCAGTCGCCCGCTCTGCCGTTCGTATCATCCCCATTGCCCAGCGCTCTAGTTTCTCCACCTGTCCTGCGGAGCCTCCTGCTGCTGCTCCCCACCTCCCTCCTTCGATTGAAACGACATATAAAACGGCTCGCCGATCGCCCACGTCGATGGCTTCGTCGGCGGAGCTGTTCGAGATGCCAGGCGCGCCCTCGCCCGTGCCTGCAGCTGCTGCTGCAGCGTCCGAGGCGCGGCCCCTCTTGCCCGTGCCCCCATCTTCCTCTAAGGGGCGGGCCTAGAGTGGTCTTGAACGGACCTCTCTGTACGCTGGGCTCCTCCTCCTCCTCCTCCCCTCCCCCTCCTCCTCCTCCTCCTCCTCCTCCTGCTCCTGCTCCTCCTCCTCCTCCTCCTCCTCCTCCTCCTCCCTCCTCCCTCCTCCCCCTCCCCCTCCTCCTCCTCCTCCTCCTCCACCTCCTCCTCCTCCTCCTCCTCCTCCTCCCCTCCTCCTCCCCCTCCTCCTCCTGAGGAGGGGGGGGGGGGGGGGGGGGGGAGAAGCGCTACCCAGCGGTCGTTGAACGTAGGTGTTTCTGGATTCCCAAGTCCACTCTACTTTCTATTTTCAGCGTCTTTCTACTTAAAGATCGAGTGAATTCACCTTTCCCGTCCTCTTCAGGGGGCGGGCGAACACCCCATCTACTTTCAACGCCTTCCTACTTTATTTTTCCACCTGCTTCTTCCGACCGATGGGAAAGCATGATGCAACCTCTAACCCGAATGACACAAAGAATTCGTGGGCTAACCTGGTTTCATTGTTTTTCCCTACCTAGGCTCTGCTTAGAAGGGTTCTTACTCTCTTAGCTTGAAGGGGCTGGGCAGTGGAACGCGCCCCGGGCGGTTCCCCCAGTCCCCTGGGAGCGGTTCCCCCCAGTCCCCTGGGAGCTTTAGCTTTAGCTTTAGCTTTAGCTTTAGCTTTAGCTTTAGCTTTAGCTTAGCTTTACCTTAGCTTTAGTTATCCCAGTGTGACCCTACCTAGGAGTTGGAACCCGTTGGAAAGCAGCATTAGTAGTAACAGTAACGCTAAGCCAAAGCTAAGCTAAAGCTAAGCTGAAGCTAAGCTAAAGCTAAGCCACAGCTAAGCTATAGCTAAGCTAAATCTAAGCTAAAACTAAGCTGAAGTTAAGCTAAAGCTAAGCTAAAGCTAAGCTAAAGCTGAGCTAAAGCTAAGCTAAAGCTGAGCTAAAGCTGAGCTGGAGCTGAGCTAAAACTAAGCTACAGCTAAGCTGCAGCTAAGCTACAGCTAAGCTAAAGCTAAGCTACAGCTAAGCTGCAGCTAAGCTACAGCTAAGCTACAGCTAAGCGAAAAGCTAAGCGAAACGCTAAGCGAAAAGCTAAGCGAAACGCTAAGCTAAAGCTAAGCTACAGCTAAGCTGAAGCTAAAGCTAAAGCTACGCTAAAGCTCAAGCTAAAGCTAAAGCTAAAGCTAAAGCTCCCAGGGGACTGGGGGAACCGCTCCCAGGGGACTGGGGGAACCGCCCGGGGCGCTTTGCACTGCCCGGCCCCTTTAAGCTAAGAGAGTAAGAACCCTTCTAGGCAGAGCCTAGGTAGGGAACTTAGCTTTAGCTTAGTTTTAGCTTAGCTGTACCTTAGCTTTAGCTTAGCTTTAGCTTAGCTTTAGCTTAGCTTCAGCTTAGCTTCAGCTTAGCTTCAGTTTAGCTTTAGCTTAGCTTTAGCTTAGCTTCAACTTAGATTTGGCTTAGCTTTAGCTTAGTTTTTGCTTAGCTTTAGCTTAGCTGTACCTTAGCTGCACCTTAGCTTTAGCTTAGTTTTAGCTTTGGCTTAGCTTTAGCTTAGTTGTAGCTTAGCTGCAGCTTAGCTTTAGCTTAACTTAGCTTTGGCTTAGCTTCAGCTTAGCTTTAGCTTAGCTTCAGCTTAGCTTTAGCTTAGCTTTACTGTTACTACTAATGCTGCTTTCCTAGGGGCTCCAACTCCTAGGTAGGGTCGCACTGGGATAATTAAGGATACCCTGAAACATATGGACGGTTTCGTCTGACACATCGGCAGACAACTATCCCTAATATCTTTGTCCCTGGCTGAGCATCCCTCCCAAATGATTAGGGGTACTTGAATTGCTTATCAGAGAAGGCGGACGAGGGCCAGAATAGCCCAAAGATGTGCCAACGATGCTTTGATATAACCTTCCGTCTCGAGTCCCCTCCTCACTAGTCTCGCCTGCCGCCTCCTGAGAGGGCCTTCTCCTCACTCATCCCCTCCATCGCTCGCCGCCGACGGTCCCTGCAAGCGGCCTTGTGGGCGCCCGAGACATCCTCCAGAGCGCCCGGATCTCAGAGAGATTCTCGATTCATCCTCACCCGATGTTGTCATCGTCCTGGCTTCGTCTCAGGTTCTGTTTTTGGACTAACAATGAAACGGTGCTCCGTCTTTCCCTGCCTTCCGAGAAGTTTTCTAAGCCTTCCCCGAAGACAAGAACCACTCTTCATGAAGCCCGAGCGCTTCTGAGAAGTCCCGCCGCCTTCTGAGAAGGCGTTCGCCTTCTCACTTCCCCCCCCCCTCGCCCGCCGCCGAGACAAGCAGTGTTCCGTCTCTCGAGCTGCCATGGGTGCGCCGCAGTGCGGCTACACAGAGCTCGGGGAGGTGTCCAGCGCCAGCCCCGCATCGAGCACGGAGGGCCCTCCATCCGTGAAAGCGCTCAGGGGTGGTCGATTCCCGGACGTCAGTTACAGCGAGTTCTCTGGAAGGAGGGCAAGGTGCCCGTACCGCTGCGCTTTCCTCGTCTTCCCTTTTCTGGGCCTCCTGGGAGGCCCTCGTCCCCACCGCTGGATTCGCTTCGAAGTTCTGGTCAGGACGCACCCCGGGAGAGGTCCGGGCGGTTGCGGTATCCGTTCCTTATAGTTTCCCCAGTCTCAAGCGAGAGTGCAATTTTTTAAAAGGAGCCGCCCTCCATCTGTCGTCGCGCCGTTTGTTCCGACGCGCGCCCTTACGTCTTGGGCAATTGGGGTGGGCGCCGCGGGCACCTGGGCAAACGCCCCCTCGGGCGCGGTGGACTTGCTGTGGGTTTGCCGCGGTGCTGGCTGCGTCTGCTGGGGCGCGGGACGCAGGGTTTGCCATGGGTTTGCCGTGGTGTCGGTTTCGTCCACTTAGGTGCGTTCAAGGCGAACAGTGCGGCGACATTGTACACTAGGCGCAGTCATTCGTTCTTGTCGGGTTTTTTCTACAGCAGATCCTGGGCGATAGCCCCATTTTGAAAGGCAGGCGCCTTCCATCCGTGTATCTGTTAGTGTTGTGCTTCCGCTGTCGTTGTCGCCGTCGTCAGCGCCGCCGTCGTCGCTGTCGTCGAGGATAAATCTTCGAAGTTCGAAGGTTTTGGGCGTTTCTGGCTCTTTCATGTGTGCGTTCTCGTCGTTGCCGCCTTCGCCTTCGCCAACGGCCGCCTTGGTCGTCGTCGTCGCCGCCGCCGCCGTTGTCGTCGCTGTCGTCGTCGCGATCGTCGTCGTCGTCGTCGTCGTCGTTATCGTCGTCGTCGTCATCCTCGTCGCCGTTGTCGTCGTCTTCGTCGTTGTCGTCGTCGTCGTCCTCGTCGCCGTCGTCGTCGTCGTGATCGTCGTTCTCGTCGTCGTCCTCGTCGTCGTCCTCGTCGTCGTCTTCGTCGTTGTCGTCGTCGTCCTCGTCCTCGTCGCCGTCGTCGTCGTGATTGTCGTCGTCGTCGTCGTCGTCGTCGCTGTCGTCGTCGTCGTCGCTGTCGTCGTCGTCGTCGTCGTCCTCGTCGCCGTCGTCGTCGTCGTCGTCGTCGTCCTCCTCCTCCTCCTCCTCGTCATCGTTTGGCCAAGGTTTGGGGCTCGAGGATCGCGATCCTTTTGAGCGTTGCGCTGTGTTGAGCGGGAGGAGGCTGCGGCATAGCCGCCGCTGCACCCAGACACCTTGTCCCGCGCCGCCGCCATCATTGTTGCCGTCGCCAATGCCGCCGCCGTCGCCGCAGTCGTGGATTAAGCTTCGAAGTTCGAGGGTCGCGAAAGCTTTTGGGCGTCTCTGGCTCCTTCGTGGGCGCGTTCTCGTCGTCGCCGCCGTCGCCGCTTTTGCCAACGCCGCTGTCGTCGTCATCGTCGTCGCCGTTTCCGTCGCCGCCGCATCCACCGCCGCCGCCCCATCCACCGCCGCCGTCGTTGTCGCCGCTGCTGCCGCCGTCGTCGTGGATCGGGGTTCGAGGTCCGAGGATCGCGAGGTTTTTGGGCGCCTCCATATGGCGCGCCGCCGTCGCCCCTGTCATTGCTACCGGTGCCGCCGCCGCCCCCGCCGTCGTCGCCGTCGCCGTCGCGAATCGGGGTTCGACGTTCGAGGATCGCAGGGCTTCTGAGCGCCTCTGGCCCCCGCTTCGTGGGGCCCGTCTGGAGACTGCGCCTCCCTCCGCATGCTGTTCGCCGTGGCGCCTGGTTCTCTGCGCTCCGTGGGGCCCGTTTTTGTAGCACCTGACAGGTACGGTCAGGTCCGGGCCATCAGCATGGATATGCTGCTCTACATGGGCGATGGCGAGTACGGCACGCTGATCTTGCTAAATCAGGAGGGAGGGGACGCGCAGAGGGAGGGGACGCACAGAGAGAGAGAGAGAGAGAGTGCTTCAGTTGTGGCGGAATGTACGTCGTGAGTGAGGAAATCGTGGGGAGGGCTCGCCAAGGTGAGAAACATGCGACCACGAGTTCGGTAATCAACGCTCTAGGTCGACCGCCATTACCTGAGGTCATTTATGCTGGAAGGGAGACGGAAGGACGAGGATGAAAAGACGGGGGCCAAGGTGGTTGTCAGTAGTATGGTATCATGACATCTGTTGGATACAATTGCAGATCCATGAAACATTGTTTACACATGTACATATCTATGTTTATGTTAACCAGCGTGGACCTCAGCAGTGTGCTTTGGCAGTTTCTTTTGCGCAATGAATGTAGAGTAGTAGATGTGGTGCAACATATGTGGTTTTTTTCTATACATATATATATATATATATATATATGCGGTGCAACGTATGCGGTGCAATCTATGTGGTGCGAACTATGTGGTGCAATCGATGTTGCGCAATCTAAGTTGTGCGATCTTTGCTGCGCAATAGTTGCCGTGCAACCTATGATTTGCAAGACCTGTCGTGCAATCGATGTGGTGCAATCTATGTGGTGCGTTCTATATTGTGCACCATATGTTGTGCGGTCTACGCTGTGCAACAATTGCTGTGAAATCTATGCTGTGCGAGATAGGTTCTTCGATACATTATGTGCAATCTTCGTGGTGTACTATATCTGTGGTGCAATATATGTGGTGCAACCTATGCGATGCGATCTAGGTGGTTCACTCTATGTAGTGCGATCCATCTGGTGCAATACATGCGGCGCGATCTATGTTGTGCAATATATGTGTTGCGATCTGTCCTGTGTAATCCATGTGCTGGAAGCAGTGTGGTGCAATCTATGTGGAGCAACTTGTGTGGTGCCATCCATGTGGTGCCATCTATCTGGTGTAATTCTGTGAGGTCGCGACGAGGCGGCGACGTGGCGGCGACGGCGGCAACATAGCCCCCAGACCGACCATCAGACAACGGGCGGCGACGAGGCGGCGACGGGGCAGCGATGGCGGCAACATAGCGCGCAGATTGATCTTCAGGCTCAGACGAAATGCGGTGACGAGACGGAGACGGGGCGGTCGACGGTGGCAACATAGCCGCCAGACCGATCGTCAGGCCCAGACGACGGACGGCGTCGAGGGAGGCGGCGACTGGGCGGCGACGGCGGCAACCTAGCCGCCAGACCGACCGTTAGGGCCGGTTCCTTATTCCACAAGTGAGGACCCCTAAGGGCAAGCACTTCGGAGGGGAATCCATGCATTTATATACGTACATGTGTATGCACATGTATATATATAGATATGTGTGTATATGTATGTATGTATATATATATATACACATGTATCGAAGACGCCTGCGGCGAATCACCGCCGCCACCTGTCTTTTCGGATACGCCTATGTGACCAAACGTTTGGGCAAAGTTTGGCCAATCTATTGGATCATGTGTTCCCCAGCCTTTGTGAGAATCCTGCGGTGAACACTTGGGGGAGGAAGAGGAGGGTGAGGAGAGGGAGGAACAAGGAGGAGGCGGAGGAGAAGGATGAGGAGATATTGCGGGAGCCTCTTGGGTCCTTCTTGGGGCCTCCTGGGAGCTTCCTGGGGGCCTCTTGGGGGCCTCCTTGGGCCTCTTGGGAGCCTTTTGGGGGCTTCCTGGAGGCCTCTTTGGCAGCCGTACTGACTCTTTGGCAGTTTTACAGAGTTCCGCACCCGTCTGACGCCGTCTGAAGCCGTCTTGGGAGCTGGGCCATCTTGGGGCCCTCTTGGGATGTTTCACATGGCTGTTTTGGAGGCCATCCTGGGTGTCTTCGAGGCTTCTTGGGCCGGCTTTGGGGCCCTCGTGAGGCCGTCTCAGTGGCCTCGTGGGCCGTCATGGGTCCCACCATCTTGGAGGTCGCTTGGGCGCTTGGTGCCGCGATCTGGCGGGCCTCTTGGATCGTTGTGGGCCGTCGGGAGGCAGACACAAGTCCAGCGAACATGTAGGACGTTGACCTCTTGGAGGCCTTTCGGGAGCCTCTTGGGCCATCTTGAGGTCGTCTCGGGTGCATCTTGGGTCGTCATGGAGACATTTTGCGGCTATCTGGGGTTCTCTTGTCACGCCTCAGGGCCGTTCTGGTAGCCATATTGAGCGTCTTGAAGACGTCTTAGGCTGTCTGAGGCATCTCTTGGGGCAGTCTTCGGGGCCTTTTGGGCAGACATCGGGCCATCTTGGAGGCCTCTTGCGCGATCTCGAGGCTAACTCGGGGGCCTCTGAGCCCTCTTGGGCCGTCGGAAGGCCGATGCGAAGCAAATGCCGAAATCCTTCAAACACTTGAAGCCAATCAATAAGTTTGGCCTCTTGGGGCTTTCTTGGAAGACCTCTTGGAGGCCTCGTGGGCCGTCTTGGAGGCCTCTTGGTAGCCTCTTGGGCCGTCTTGGACCATCTCGAGGACATCCTGGGCCGTCTTGGGTGCATCTTGGGCCGTCGTGGAGACATCTTGCTGCCATCTGGGGCGTCTCGGAGGTCTCTTGAGTCGTCGTGGGGCCTTCGTGGGGCCATCTTGGAGGCCTCGTCTGCGGTCTTGGGGGCCTCTCGTGCCGTCGGAATGCAGTTTTGAAGCAAGCGCACAAATCCTTGGGGCCATCTTGGCCGTCTTGGAGGCCATCTTGGGCGTCTTGCTAGCCATCTGGGACCGTCTTGGGGCCATCGTGGGGGCTTCTTGGGCCGTCATGGGGCCATCTTGGAGGCCTCTGCGGCGATCGTGGGTGTCTGTCGGGCCGTCTTGGGCTGTCGGAAAGCCGAAAAGGCGCGAAGGCCCAAATCCGTCAACCACCAAAGGCAACTCAATGAATTTGGCCTCTTCGGGCTTTCTCGGAGGACCTCTTGGATGCCTCTTGGATGCCTCTTGGAGGCCTCTTGGCCTATGTGGCCGAACGTTGCGGCCCGGGCTCCGGCCAAGCTGTCGGACTATGTGCTCCCCCAGCCGTTATGGAAATCCTTCGGGGAACACGAGGGAGCGAAGGAAGAAGAGGAGGAGAGGGAGAAACACAAGAGGAGGAGGAGGAGGAGGACGAGGACGAGGAGGATGAGGAATCACGTCAATAAGACAAGGGAAACGACTAATCATAAAACGGTGATGCAAATTTCAATATTAAGAAGAAATATAACAGACACATCATCGTTAATGCTAGTAATAATATGGATACGAAGAATAATGCTGATATTCGTAGGACGCGTACGACTCAAAAGAGTACAACACATAATGAAACCACTAATCATATTAATGCGAATAATCAGAAAAATGAGAAGAAGAAGAAGAAGAAGAAGAAGAAGAAGAAGAGGATGATGAGGAGGATGAGGAGGAGGAGGGAGCGGCCACTTGGGAGCTTCTTGGGGCACTTTTTGGGGCTTCTTGGGGGCTTCTTGGGGGCCTCTTGGAGGCCTCTGGGGGGCTTTCTTGGGCCTTTGGGAGCCTTTGGAGGCTCCTTGGGAGGCCCTTTGGCCGTTTGAGGCCTTCCTGACCCGTCTGACGCCGTCTGAAGCTGACTTGTGGAGCCTTTCTGGGCCGACTTGGAGCCCTCTTGGAGCGCTTCGGAGCCGTCTTGGACGCCATCTTGGGCGTCTTGGAAGTGCCCTGGGCCGTCTTGGGGCCCTCTTGGGGCCGCCTTGGGGGCCTCTTGGGCCGTCAGGGGGCCATCTCTGCGGCCTCTTGGGCGCTTTCGGGACCGCTTATGGTGTCCCAAACCCGGATAGCGGGGCAGTCCAAAGCGCGTGAAAGCCTATGACGGACGCTTGCAGGGACCTTTGAAAGCATGTTCGCGGAGCTTGCAAGCTCGTGAGAGGAGCTTCGCAGCTGCTCCCGAGGCGCTTCGAGAGAGCCGCGGAAAGGCCAGCGGCAAACGTGCTGGGACCGGGTCTGAAAGCGCCTTCGGGAAACGCTGCGACTTCAAGCAAGTTGCGGATGGGATGCCTGCCCGGGAGCCGTGGAGAGGAAGTTGGCCTACCCTGTGGTGCTTGCCTCTAACATGAACCCTTCTCAGCTCTCAGAGAGCTCTCCGGGAGTTTTTGTGGCCTCTGCGGTGGCCGTTGCGGCCATGTTGGGCAGTCGGGAAGCAGAACATGAGCAACTGACCGAATATTTCACACGCATAGGGGAAATCAATGGGTTTGCCTTCTTCGGGCCTTCCTGCAGGACCTCTTGGAGGACTCTCTTGGGAGCCTCCTGGGCTGTCCTGGCTCATCTTGAGGCCATCTTAGGCAGTCTGGGCTGCATCTTGGGCCGTCTTGGAGGCATCTTGCGGCCATCTGGGGCTCTCTTGGGACCATCTCGGACGTCTTGCGTGTTCGCCATCTTGAGCGTCGTGGGCCGTCAGTGGGTTCTCTTAGGGCCATCTTGGGAGCCTCGTGGGTCGTCATGGGGCCGTCTTGCAGGCCTCTTATGCGATCTTGGAGACCTCTTGGGCCGTCTTGGGCCGTCGGGCGGCAAACAAGGAGCGAATGCCAAAATCCTTCAAACACATGCGGAACACCAATAATGTTGGCATCTCCAGGCCTTCGGAGAGACCTATTGGAGGCTTTTTGGGCCCTCTCTAGGGTCTCTTGGGGGCCAACTAACTTATATCGGCTGCATCTTGAGCCGTCATGGAGACACTGTGCGGCCACCTGGGGCTCTCTTCGGGCCATCGCGGCCGTCTTGGAGGCCATCTGTGCCGCCTTGGGAACCATCTGGGACCATCTTGGGGCCGTCGAGGGGGCTTCATGTGCCCTCATTGGGTCATCTTGGAGGCCTCCGCGGCGATCTTGGGGCGATCTTGGGTGTCTGTCGGGCCAAGACACAAAAACCCAACTCCTTCAACAACCAACGGCAACTCAATGAGTTTGACATCTTCG